AAAGTTCTTTATGAACTGCAGGATTGCTTGTAATAAAGATTTCAATGCAGAAGGAAAGGCAGTAGAGCTGACTATTTCTGTCAATGGTAAGTTTGTGATAATGTAAGAAAAGTAGTTTAAATGTTTTGCCACTTGCTTGAGCAACTTAATATATAAATCTAGAAGTAAATGCAAAAGTAAAAAGCATTGAATAATGTGTTGCTTATATTTATTGTGTTTAAACATGTCCGTGAACTATTGTGTTACTGTACTGTGTAAAGAAATAATTGCGATGCTGAAAAAGCATTTTCAGTGACAATGTTTGGATTTGAAATTAGAATAATGTATAAATGTTGTGTTTGTGGTCAACACGGATCAGAAGCGGACTCCTGTGTGAAAGCTGCTTCACGAGAGACACCTAAGAGAGGAATTACCCACATTTTCAAAAATGAAATTCAGGCCTGAATAAATGCCTAAAAATCCTGATTGGAGTATCACTATAAATAGTTATAAATGATAAAAAGAAGGCTTTAAAAGATCGGTATCGGCAGATACTGCTTTCTGTGATCCGCCTCAAAAACCCTGATCGGAGCACCCCTACTGGATTCAGGCTTTTGTGTTGTGCTGGTTTTGTTGGACCGGAGCGTGGCATTTTATATCACTGACATGACGTTTTTCTTAAATTACTTGAATGTATATCCAAGGCACTGCATTACAGTGGTTTGCTTATCTTGAGAATAGGGCTTTTTTTCTGTAAATTTAGGAGATTTTTCACTTTTTTCCTCATCATCTGCACCTGTCTTGTATGGTGTGCTTAAGGGGTCCATTTTGGGACCTGTATTGTTTTCCCTTTGTGCTTCCCTTCGCCCTCATTTTGCAAAAAATACATTTAATATCACTTGTTCGGATGATTCACAGTTATCTTCCAGTAAAGCTTGGCACCACTGTTTCATTCTATGTGTTATTGAAGAAATGGATGAGGATCAAGCTAAATGGGGATAAAACTGAGGTGTTAATTGTAGTTTGCACTGCAAATTCCTACTCTGCTCTGGAAGCACAGGTCCAGTGCACACAAACAAATTAAAGACCTTGGAGTGATCTTTGTCTCTTCACTATGTTTTTTTAAATAAACAAATTGGTGCTGTTGTTAGAGGAGATGTCTTCCATTTGAGATCTATTGCAAAGTTGAAGCATCTCTCAGGTAAAGGTTTGGAAGTTGGGATTTATGCACTTGTCACTTCACGATTGGATTGTCTTCATTCTGGGGTCTGTTTCATAAAAGACGCGAAGAAAAGCAGGGATTAAAGTCTGACTTGAAATAACCTAGCACATCAATCGAGGATAAAGAAGTTCAATAAATGACCATTTATGTTCATGCAGTCTCACTAATTTGACCCAGGTTCAGTGAGTCAAGATAATTTGATGTGCACGCTTATTCTCAAGCAGCCCTTAATGTCGATCACGGATCAAATCAATCCACCATGACAAACAGCGAAAATATCTGTGCCATTTAATGCATTTGAGACGCGTTTTCCCCAGTGCATAACTGACATGTCACAGGTATATTCTTCATCTGTAACTGTTAGAAAGTCATGTAAGCTATAGTTTATTGTCTTATTGTATCCGAGCAGCCCAGCAGACGACCGCATCAATTTCTCTAGAGCAAAGATTGACTAGATTCACACAAAATAAAATACATAATTTCTCACTATATACTGACACCTGTGACTGTTTTTATTAGGATGACTTACCACGGCTTGCATAAGCGTGCTCCTACCGATCCGTGCCGTCTGTGCACCTGAGGAAGCGTTTGCTGCGGTCAGCGATGAATACAGAGGACGGCTGGAGATCCTCACAGAAGCGTGCCGGACTGATGAGGGATTGTCAGATCAGTGACGCCAGCTGACTGTGTAACGCCCTAAAACAGATTCACATCAACACATCAGTCAATAAAAGTGTGCCGCTCTGCCTCTTGTTTCCATTAACCTCACTGATAATGTGCCTGTTTGAATCCCTCAACACAATACACAGCTTATTTATCATTTCTGCCATTTACATCGGAGCACACTGCAGCCGTGCAACATTGCATTAATGCTGAATTTGCTCAGTGATTTACAGGGCTCGAAATTAACTTTTTTACTTTGTAGCACTGGTGCTCCCAACTTCAAAAAGTTAGGAGCACCAGCAAAAATTTAGTAGCACTCACCAAAAATTAATGAGCACCACAACTACAAATTTTAAGTAGTGCTACAGTAAAACACTGCTGCTGACTTCCAGAAGCTGTAAGGAATGAAGCTTTCTTCACTGAGAGAGAATGTGAAACATGCTGTATTTTTAGTTTTTAAATATACTTTAATAGAATTTAAATTGTGTAACTGTTTGTGGGAAAGAGAGTAAAAAACCTACAAGTGTGCAGCTCCTAAAGCATTCCTCTGATGAAACTGCAGTAAAGCACATGTGTGTGTGTGTTCTCTGCAGAATAAAGGCACAGGCGCTCAACAGTAGCTTCACAGAGCATTGCAGCAGCACTGGAACAGATCCACATCTTCAGCTGGAGAAACCTGCAAACACTCCTGCATTACAGCTGCTCTGACCAAACATCAGTGCTGGCATAATATTACCCAAACATATCTAGACTCATGCTTCTGAACATTCTGTGAGGAGTCCACTGACCTTGTGTCTTCATTCACACCTGATTTCATAAAGATTAATCGATGTAAAACACCTACGCATGTACAAACCTATAAAGCTGGAGGCTTCATTCAGTGCTGCATGAGTCTCCGTGGAGCAGCTCAAAGGAACACACGGTGAAAGTGTATTTCTACTAATTTCAAAACAAAGTCATTACATGATGTTTTAACAAGGTCTGGTTAATGACATGCCTAGTATTATTATTAGTATTTGCTACACGCGAGGGGGAGCGTGTGAGAAAGGCAACAGCTGTTTAGACTCACTTCTAGTCAAAATGAGAAACATACAGCATGTATAAAGTGATATGTTTATCGTGTTGAGTTGCGCGTTTAAATCAGTAAAACGCGTTATATTATTTACCTCAGAGTTTACCTGCTGCGTCACGGACCGGCGTCAAACAGCACCATATGTTACAAACGTATGAAGAAAGAGGCATTAAATGCTTCAAATATGAACAATTACAAGTCTAATGTGTCATTTTACAACTAATGTGCAAAAAGGACGAATAAAGACACTGTTGCTCACCTTCACTCAGCGCACAGCTGATCCAAATGAGGCTAATCGCGCATGCGCAGAACGATTCCTCCAACCAAGAGCAAACCTTATTTTTTTCGACCACTTAATATTTAATAGTATTTTTTACTTGCATTTGATATATTTGATAGATTTATTTTAAATAAAACATTTGCAATTGGCATGTAAAATGCGTTTTCATGGTGTTAGGTTTCTCCCATTTCCCATGATGCCCCGCAGCACAGGTATAAAAGCGCATCCCGCGCGCACTCTGGGTTCTTAAGTGGCTCCGGCAAGATGGCGGCCGGCGGAGGTGAGTGCGTGCTGCTAGATTTATGTGTTGGGTGTCCCAGTCATTATAAAGCGTTAAAAGATGGTGAACAGTATGCCTGTGTAATATTCCTCTCTTTAGTTGTGTTAGAATAATTGTGTGATGGCTGGATGGTTTGCTGAAGTGTGTTTGTGTTGCTGATCGTGTTTTCAGAGCGACTCCTTCAAAGGGCCTTTGGTTTCAGTAGATGAAGCGGATTCATCTGTCTCTCATATTACTGTTCATAACCTAATATTTCAAGGCGAAATCAGCCAAATGCGCATTAAATCTCAAGCAGAAGTTATTAAAAGCTCTGGATGCTGGTTTAAAGCGAGTTGTGAGTAAAAGTGTAGGCAGATAGCGAGCAGCTGTTGATTCCTGTCTGTGTTTGTTTGTAAAGCTCGGTTTGAGAAAGTGTATATTGCTACGATTACGGTAACTTCAGGACCAACAGAGAATGCGCTTTCAGAGTGCTTTACACTTATTAGCCCAGAGTTGAGATCTAATACAAGATATCATGTGCTTCTCTCTGGCAGCGGCAGGTCCCCAGATGCCACGCGGTTTCTCGCTGTTCTGCTGTTTGCTCGGTAAAAACTACACTGTTCTCAGTGGCGTGCGATGGTGGGTTTTTTTTTTTT